CCTGAACCTTCTATATGAATAGTAATATCCGTGAGAGATTTAATAATAGACCAATCACTATGGAACACCTATACTTCCAGAACTGATCTTTATACATAACCTCACTGTGTGCCAACTGTCTTCAATTCACGTATGCTGTGAAACATAAGCTGGTCCAGTCATGGACTTATTTTGGCACTTCCATAGCTGCAGTCTTCTAATAATGCTCATCTACCTTTGCGGAGGATCATGGGAATAGTGGTCCACAACTACAGTGCCAAGAATCAAAGCTCTAGATGTATGTAGAAAGCGTCTGAGAAACCCAATTCGATAAGGAGTTGGCAGAGAGGGGTTAACATGTGTGATTCTCCCATTGTGTAACACTATTCTGCCCGGTTTGCAAATATTCTGCTCCAGAGGATAATGCCATACAGCATAAAGCAGTGTTCATCCAAAATTAAGATGCACCATGCGGTTAAATATTTAACAAAAAAATACAAGGTTTGTATAACATTAATAAAAAGAAAGTTACTGGATACAAGTAGGGCTTTGGAGTATATTAAGGGACAATGAAATTTGGTCTACACATTTACAACTGAGCTCTTTATCCTCTGTTTGCAGATGAACGACTGGTTTATTAATGCCAGGGGTAGGGCTTTGTCGAAGATCCTAAAGGGAAAATAAGGACTCCAGCTTCAAAAGGGGCTACGAGAATGTATTGCCTGCGCACACCAACTATAACTGCATTAGTGGGCGCCCTACACACCATTGTAGAACGGCTATGAAATCATGCATGGTGTGAAACAAGCTAGTCCAGTCATAGCGGAGCATTATGGAAAGACTGCAGTCACGTCAGTGCTAATATAAAGCCATCTTTGCTATGCATTATGGGACTATGAAGACAGTAGAATGGTTGATATACTCACACCTAGCATACATGTCAATCCTTTGTTATCAAAAGGAGAGAAAGGGAACCCCTACAGTGAGTGGAGGCCGTGAAACAAACCCAACCCAGTTTATACCTTTGTTATAGACAAGCAAAGGTGTAAACTCCAGCTCACCACTGCAGTTCTTGATCAAGGGATGCCTTCGTGCCTCACATTGCAAGGAGCCAAACCATTTTACCTAGGGTCTGCTGCGCACCACTCCCATCTTCCAAGAGCCAGAGGTTCCTCAGCACGAACTTCCATGAGCTCTCCTGAAGAAGTCCTGCAATCAGCTAGAAGTCCCTAATGTGGACCTTCCACCTCTCAGGAGATATTGGCAGAGACTAGGAGCAGGGAGTCAATGTTTTGTCTTACAGGATGTAGTGGTTATGGTGCTAGGAGGTGTTCCTTTAATAGATCAATCACCACAGGAAAAAAAAAAAAAAATTCCAAAATATATCTTAAAGAAAGCTAGAATACATATTGTTATAAAAGTGTTGTGAAGCAGAAGTCAATGCAATCTCAAGTAGTACCGCAACCACCCTAAAAAGGTGGCAAGAAGAAAACCATAACCACTGTGAACAGAACTGCTCCTTTCTTCCACCAGCATTATTAATGAGGTGCCCATGTGGTTAACCGTTGCTGGCTCCTCTTCCTCAGCTTAAGGTTGTGAGCCCTGCTGCTCAAGCTCAAAGACAGCCTTCTACGGCTGAAACACCTTCAGGTCATTAGGAGGACAACCTGAGAAGAAGGAACTGGATGCAGAGGTCAAGGGAAAGAAGGCCTTCTCCAGGAGGCTGGGAAATCACCAGTAAAACCAAATCAGTCCAAAAGAGGTTTAAAGGCACGGTGTCAGTTTGTACAACACACCTATGTAGTTGGTTCCGTAAAACTCCAGAAACCAACGCACCAGTTGGACAGACCAGGGCTTAACCCTAATCAGAGTAGATATAGGGATTCCGTTCCTACACATGGCCATACTGTGGCAGCAATTTGTTAATATCGGATATTATAAGTAGTCTAGTAAAATTCCAGATAATTTGTGGGTGCAGTTCCTTAATCTGTATTTTAGTCTTTATTGCAGCATGTATCGGCTGTGCTCTGAATGCCTTTATGAAAATTTAGATTTAGGTTTATGTAACTTACATTGGTCTGATTTGCAATGCATCTTATTTACACAGACTGATTTCTAAACACATTTATTGGAGTTATAATGTGTTTGATTTTTTTTTTTTTTTTTTTTTTAAGGGTTGGTCCAGGATCTGGAAACAGGAAGAATTAGCCATGTCAGTCCAGGCACAGAGCCAGAGACCAAATAGAACATACAAAATCTAGCTCACTCATACATTGCATAAGCCTGTCAATGTACTCCATTTTTGGAAGGTCCAATCCTAACAACCTAATGCCTGCGATTAACCGGTTTATGCAATGCGTGATTGCATACTGTAAACTTTGTTTAAGATTTTCTTAAAAATTTTACTGTGAGTGCAAGATCTAATAAATAGCTTACTCTGAATTAAAAAAATAAATAAAAAAAAGTCAATAGAATAGATCCCAAAAGAATCAAGAGAAAAGTTTAAAATCACCAAGTCTCTAACTCAAATCACTGTCCTACCCAACACTTTGAATGAGACTGAAATTCAAACACACCCCCTGGACCATCAGGGATTTTTAGGAAAGTGGCAAGACCCAAGGAAACATCTTGCTGAATGTACTACATTGCATTTTGTATCTTTGGAGCTCCATGACATACACTGGACTGTGAAATTGACATTTATGGGAGCACAGAATGTTAATATGACAGAGAGATCTGGGTCCTATTCAGCCACTGGAGAGAAAAAAAATCACTATTCCCTATTCAGCCATTCTCGCTCCATTCTACAGTATCAAGGATCATCCAGGACAAACTAGGCAATGGTGAGAAATGGCCAGAACTAACAGTCCTAACACTGTATAGATGGCTTATCAACTGTATTCCTATACCCAAGTTTGAGAAAGCAGATATGAAGGAGGAAACTGGTTTAACCCATAACAGGTATGTAACCTGACCCCATTCTATACCTGGGATGCCAGAGCCTTCTATATGAATAGCAAAGTCAGTGATATTTATTAGTAGAACACCGATACTTCCTGAACGGATCTTTATACATAATCTCACTGTGTGACAACTGCCTTCAACTCACGTATGCTGTGAAACATTAGCTGGTCCAGACATGGCTTTATTTAGGCACTACCATGGTTGCATCTTTTCACATAATGCTCATCTACCTTTGCCGAGGATCATGGGAATAGTGGTCCATAACTACAGTGCCAAGAATCAAAGCTCTACCTGTATATAGAAAAGGTCTAAAAAAAAAAAAATCTATTAAAATGAGGACTTGGTAGAGGGGTTAACATGTGTGATTCTTCCATTGTGTAACAATATTCTGCCTTGCTTGCAAATGAACTGCTCCAGAGGATAATTTCCATTCAGCATAAGTGTTCATTCAAAAATTAGACAGTGCGGTTAAATATTTAGAAAAACAAAGACAGTGTCTGTATATTTATATCGGCAGACGTGTCAAGATAGAAATTAAAAGTGTATACTGTCAGTCACCCTCAAAACAGGTGACTCAATTTTAAATTACAGGGCTAAGAGAGTATAAGAATAATAAGAATACATTACTAGTTCCATGGTAAGAGAAACAGTGAACTTAAGGTTAGGTGTCAAATCTAAATTTTATGATTGCAATTGCAGACACCCAGACTGGTTTAGAGTGAACCAATGTCTTTGGATTTGACAGGTTCTGTGATTGATAGACGTAAGAAAAAAAAAGAAAGAAATTTTTTACATCATACGCATCACCAAATTCAATTAACCCATTATACAAAAAAGGTAAATGGACCACCTGACAAGAATTTTCTGTGATGTAATTGTGCCATCTACGGACCAAAAACTAGATCGTCTATAGGGAAGACACCTACAGTTCCTTGTTGGTCCTATCGACTAGTGACGTGCAGAGAATTTGCCCCCTTAAAAACTCTTATTTGCAAACTGTTCTATTCCATCTCCCTCCGTATACTATCACTACTTAATTGATAACTATATCTCCCATCCTGATCTTCTGTTTTTGTTTTCCTTAAGGCTGGTATGATCATGTAATTTTATGTTCATTCTCTTAGACATTGTTAATGGTTTGTTTAGCTAGTGTTACTACGCTCACTGATAATCTAGTAAATTTATGTTCATGGTTTATGACTTTCACCTATCTGATCCTTCCCATCTTTTTATCCCAAATGTTCTCTTTTAGTTTTTCATCTCTAATTAATTACCTCAATAGCCCCATGTCTCCCCTCCCATAACAGTGTGTTTTATTTCATTTTTTTTTTTTTCTAACTTCAGACCTTATATTTCAGACTGGGCCCCTTAAAACAGCATTAACACCCAGCACTCCCAAGCAACCAAGTCCTGCTGAATCTTCAGAGCAGAGGTATCATCTCTGGAAGATTGCCCACCCTCCCCTCCCCACACCATCCCACCCCATGGTCATCAACTTATTTATAGATAGTGCACATCAGCAGGTTTCCTTAACACACCAATCAAGTCATTAAACCACTCCTCACCTGAATTCATTTAACACACTGCATCCTTACAATGGTTTAAACACTCATTGATATTTGTGTGTTTGTATATATGATCTACATATATATATAATACACATTTTCTCTAATGTTCTCCCTTCTATTTTTCACTTTAACACTAACTTCTGTCATTACTAAAATATCCCCATCCTTTCACTCACCTGTCCCTGGCAACACCATCATCATTACTTCCACCTTACTCCCCTCCGTATTCATCCCATGCACTCTACACATACCTTTCCAGCCTATCTCCACCAACTCTTTCCAAATCCTCTACATATATACCCTCCTACAAAAACTTTCAAATCCTACTCCCACCTTCACTTCCTTTCTATCCTTCTGCTCCTAGCAGCTGGTGATGTCTCTCCAAACCCCGGTCCCCTCTCAAAAACTCTGCACATACTAACCCAAGGATCCACACTAATCTCATACCCATCTCTTGTTCCTCTAAATCCTCCTTCAATACTGCCCTCTGGAACACACGCTCTGTTTGCAATATAACTAAATCCACTGCTGTCCATGACTTCTTCATCTCTCATTCAATAGATTTACTAGCCTTAACAGAAACCTGGCTCTCCCCCTCTGACACTGCCACCCCTGCATCTTTGTCCTTCGGTGGTCTCCAACTTACCCACAACCCAAGAAACTCTGAATGTAAAGGTGGTGGTGTTGGGTTTCTCCTCTCCCCTCACTGCTCTTTTAAACCTCTTCCCACCCCCCCTTCCCTCTCTTTCCCGTCATTTGAAATACACTCAATTCGCCTTTTCAAACCCTTCTCTGCTAACATTGCTGTTATTTACCGTCCCCCTGGTTCCCCTCTTCTCTTCCTTGACCACTTTGCTGCCTGGCTACCCTATTTCCTCTCTTCTAACATTCCATCCCTAATTCTCGGGGACTTCAATATTCCTATAAACCCACCCTTGACCTCTGCAGCCAATAAACTACTTTCAATTACTTCCTCCCTCGGGCTATCACAGTGGGCAAATTCTCCCACCCATGTAGCTGGCAATACCCTTGACCTAATCTTCACTTATGCATGTACTGTATCTAATATCTGCAATACTCCGTATCCACTCTCTGATCACCACCTCTTATCATTTGCTCTCACGTACCCCCTCACCCAACAACCTCCGCCTAACCAGCCTCAACTCAGGAGGGACCTTAATTCTCTTGATCTCCAACAGTTGTCAGCTGACATTGATTCACAACTGCTGTCCATCCCTTCCCTCTCCTGTCCTTCACTGGCCATCTCCATATATAACTACTCTTACATCTGCCTTTAACACTGCAGCGCCACTCCAAACAAGCACCTCAAGGAGGAACCGCCCCCAACCATGGCATACTAAATCAATGCGCTACCTGCAAAGATGCTCCCGTTATGCTGAATGCTCCTGGAGGAAGTCTCGCACCCAGTCAGACTTTCTCCATTATAGATTCATATTGTGTTCATACAGTGCAGCCCTTGCCAAACAGTCCTATTTTTCCTCTCATTAATTCATGTTCCCGCAACCCCAGGCGTCTTTGACACCTTTAATGCTCTTCTTCGCCCCGCTGTGGCCACCCCCCAAACCAACCTAACTGCTGATAACTTTGCATGTTACTTCACTGACAAAATTGAACAGCTAAGGAAAGAATTCTCCCCTCCTTGCCTGTTTCTCAATCACACATAGATCATGCCTTTCCTACCCTTCAGACATTCTCCCCAGCCACTGACCAAGAGGTGGCTGCTCTTCTTTGCTCCTCTCGCCCGCTCGATCCTGTCCCATCTCACCTTATCAGATCTCTCTCCACTTGTCTCGTGCCTTCTCTAACACACATCTTCAACTGCTCGCTCTCTTCTGGCATCGTCCCTGCTGACCTTAAACATGCCACTGTAGTACCTATACTAAAAAAACCATCCCTTGACCCATCCACCCCCTCTAACTACCGTCCCATATCCCTGCTCCCTTTTTCCTCAAAGCTTCTGGAAAGACTCGTCTTTACCCGTGTGTCTCATTTCCTCAATTCCAACTCTCTCCTTGACCCCCTTCAATCTGGCTTCCGCCCTCTCCACTCTACAGAGACTGCCCTTATCAAAGTTACTAACGACCTAATTGCAGCTAAATCCAAAGGCCACTACTCCATACTAATTCTTCTTGACCTCTCAGCGGCCTTTGACACCGTTGATCATGCTCTCCTTCTTCAAACTCTGCAATCGCTTGGTCTCTGTGACTCTGTCCTCTCATGGTTTTCCTCTTATCTCTCCCAACGCTCAGTGTCTCCCTGTCTCGGTTGGAGTCCCCCAAGGCTCCGTCCTTGATCCCCTTCTATTTTCTCTTTATACTGCCTCTCTTGGCAAACTTATTACCTCATTTGGATTCCACTACCACCTGTACGCTGATGACACCCAGCTATATCTCTCCTCCCCAGACCTCTCCCCTGCTGTCCTGCAACGTGTCACTGCTTGCCTTTCTTCCATCTCTGACTGGATGTCCTCCCGCTTTCTGAAACTCAATCTCAAAAACTGAGCTCCTTGTCTCTCCTCCTAATAGTGATCCTCCTCTTTCGCTCTTCCTTCAAGTTTTTGGTACCAACATCCGCCCATCCTTGCAAGCGCGCTGTCTTGGCGTCATACTTGACTCTGGTCTCACCTTTGATCCTCACATCCAGCATGTTGCCAAATACTGTAGATTCCATCTTAAAAACATAGCCCGCATCCGCCCCTTTCTTGCACCAGATACTACCAAGGAGCTTGTCCATGCTCTAGTAATTTCCCGCATGGATTATTGTAACCCTCTCCTGCTTGGTCTTCCCAAAAGCCGCACTGCACCCCTACAGTCTGTAATGAATGCTGCTGCTAGACTGATTTTCCTCTCTAGTCGGTTCTCTCACACCTCACCCCTCTGCCAGTCCTTACATTGGCTTCCTGTGTGCTATAGAAGTCAATTCAAGGCACTAACTCACACCTATAAAGCACTGAACAACTCTAGCCCCTCTTATATCTCCTCACAGATCCATAGGTATGTCCCTTCTCGGTCTCTCCGCTCTGCCCGTGACCACCTCCTGTCCGTTGTCCGCACCCGAAAGGCCAACTCGCACTTGCAGGACTTCTCGCGGGCGGCTCCCTTCCTATGGAATAGCCTGCCTCCTGCCATCAGACTCTCCCCTAGTCTTGCATCTTTTAAGAAGTGCCTTAAAACCCATCTCTTTAGGAAAGCTTATGGCCTCCAAGACTAACCCCTACCTCACATACCTGTCTCTTGCCCTCTCCTAAAGGGCAGCCCACCTTATTTGATTGCAAATTCCTGTCCTACTGTTTTTTACACCCCACCTCCTATAGAATGTAAGCTCGATTGAGCAGGGTCCTCTTCAACCTATTGTTCCTGTAAGTTTATTTGTAATTGTCCTATTTATAGTTAAATCCCCTCTCATAATATTGTAAAGTGCTATGGAATCTGTAACAACAACAACCACAATGGGAGGAGAGGGAAAGGCTGACTGGAAGAGACTCTTTGAAAACACATTTGGACACTCACACTCTTTAGGACTTACATATTCTGACTCTTGGACTGGACTCAAGGCTCCTACTGCCAGACTCAAATTCTCTTGGACACACCTAATTCTTAGTATTTTCTGTTCCAACTAACAACTTCAGAATTCAGAAAAGTATTCTATTTTCCACAATTATACTTGCTTTCAAGATTCCTGGGACATATCTACACATCTGATCGAAAATCTACAGCATAACTGGTAATTATGCTGGTTTTATTTAATTAAAATTAATTTTTATTGATAGCAGGAATATATATTGGTCAGATTTCAATTAGAAGTAAGCTAAGGAATATATGGTTAAACAAATTCCATTCCTGCAAGTGGAATAAAGAGAACGGTATATTAGCCAAATATTAGCATAACTTTTTATCCAGAGGTATTGACTTGTTCTGATATAAGATAGTGAATCTTAATTAGGAAAGTTAAAATTCGGCAAACGTAAAATCTGGTAGAATTATCCCTATTGGATGGACAGAGGAATGGTCAAATGATCTGGTATGAGCATCACTTTAATTGTAAAATTGCAATGTAATAGGATCTTGCCTATGAGGATTGTAGCCAGCAGTGTCAGAATTAATTCAGTGTGATTTGACTAAGCCAAAGTGTTTTGCTTTATGCTGCACTGCTGTGTGTTCTGTGAAGTTATTTCTTAACTGTTGACAACTGATCATATAACCGTTGCCATATTGTATATTTATGTTATACCTAAATATTCACTGATTGTCACAATTTTATAATTTGTGATTACTGTTAAAGTAAAAATCCTCTACTGAAACTTTCTCTAGGATCTAAGAATTAAAATCATGAGTAATTCTTTAAATCAAATTGGGAACAGTGCCAAGATAGTTTGATTTAATAAAAATTAAATGCATTTTATAATTATGAAATTTTGATATTTCTCACCCCATCAATATCCTCACAACAGGATAGCACAATAAGGCTTGTGCAACGTTAGATAAGTTACTGGATGTGTAGGGCTTTGTAGAATCTTAATTGACAGAATTAACATTTATATATTTATAATTAATGATCTCTATCCTTTGTTTGCAGATGAATGACTTGTTTATTAACGTCAGGCGTAGGGCTTTGCTGAAGATCCTATATAAAAAAAAAAAATAAATAAAAAAAAAAGACAAAAAACAAAACAAAACAAAAAAAACCTCCCCTCCAGCTTCAAAGGGGGCAAGAAGACGTTAATGCCTGTGCACACTAATTAGAACTGCATCAGTTTGCACCCTTCACACCACTGTGTGACAACGGCCTTCAAATCATGTAGGTTGTGAAACATAAGCTAGTCCAGTCATAACTGGGCACTATGGAAAGACCGCATCCACTTCAGTGCTAATATAAAAGCACTAAGTCTTGGTGCAGGAAGGAGGGTTTGGGGTTTTTAGAGCACTGGGCCAACTTTGCGATTGGGTACAACCTTTATAGTAGTGATGGATTGCACCTAAACGGGAGAGGGTCTGCATTGCTGGGGGATAGGATAGCTAGAAGGTTGGAGGAGATTTTAAACTAGTAGTGGGGGCGGGGGGGGTGGGAAAGAGTCATAGCAATCTACAAAATGGAGATAGGACAGAAAGGAGATGGGCTTTAGCACAGTATAAGGGGGGTGGAGACGGGGGGAGGGGCAAGCTCAGAACAGAGAAGCTATGTAATGTTGATAATTCACAAAAATACAAGTGACTCATGATATTAAATGTATGCTTACTAATGCAAGGAGCCTAAATAACAAAATGGGGGAACTAGAGGCAGTAGCATACACTAAACAATATGATATAATAGGCATAACTGAAACATGGTGGGATGAGACACATGACTGGGCAGCTAACTTAAATGGGTACATGTTATTTAGGAAGGATAGGAAAAACAAGAAGGGTGGTGGGGTATGTTTGTATGTCAACCATGATTTAAAGCCAAATCTTAAGCAAGTGGAATGCGATGAGGAAAATGTGGAAGCTTTATGGGTAAATATCTGCTTGGGGAAAAGAAGGGAAACCAACTATTGGTTGGGATATGTTATAAACCACCTAATGTTAATATTGACGAGGAACAACAGCTGTTTGAGCAAATTGAGAAAGCTGCAAATCTGGGTAACACTTTAATTATTGGAGATTTTAATTACCCGGACATAAATTGGGACAGAGGGACTAGTAGCTCAGCAAAGAGAATTAGGTTTTTAAA